GATCTGGAGGTTTAACTAGTCCTGCAAACTTTCAACTTTGTGGCATTAAGTCAGCTTGATGTTGGCTTCCTGATCTAACTTTCTCTGGTCTGTTGTTGGTTACCACACATTCATCCCTTTCTAGCTTTCAAACATTTGTTGAAAATCTTTTAATTGCTGACATCTTTTTCCACTTTCTTTGCCTTTGTGGGCTTATAATATTCTATTTTTATCATTTCAGTGGGATTTCTTGAAAGCAGAGCTAAAAATATATCTAAAGCACTACATTTGTCTTCAGGATCTGAACTATTTTCTCTCACTTCTACATCATTTACAGTGTTCGTTTAAAGTCACCAAATGTTGTTGATAAACAGAATAGATGCTCCTTTGTTTTCGCCTACTCTTTGTCTTACTTCAAGTCTTAGTAACAATTGTACCCACTGACCATTTTTACTTGAAATCACCCAGCCCTTAGCTTTCATGAATATTCCTGTTTCTTAGTTTGTTTGATTTATTTTGCCTTTGTGAGCCGGTCTTCCTTTCCTATTTTTATTCTTTTAATGTTGTCATTCTTCCTGATCCCATTTTAAGATATTCTTTTCTTTTGCTGTACATTGTCATTGCAAATTCTTTAGCTTTTAGAGATTCATTAGCATGAAATTATCACCAATTAACATGTTGAGGATTCTCAACTGTTTATGTCAAGTTCAAATATAGCCTATGGCAGTGGTGGCCAAACTTTTGTACCTCTTTGTCTTTCTTTTAGGCAAAAGATGTTAGTGTATGTGTTTTTTTTTTTTCTAAACTAAATCCTCAGTATTTGAGTTTAATTGCAGTGTTGGTACTTTGTGATAGATAAGTGGATTTAGACTTGGAGATTGGGTACTCATCTCTAAAAGGTTAGCCATCTCTGGCCTATGGTATAGGTAGAAAAAATAGCAATCTATGCTCTAGTGAGCATTTTTCTCACTAGACTCTTACAGGTTCTGAAATTCCTCCCTACCATTAATTATTATACTGTGTTAAAGATGTATGCCTTCAGATAAAATAAAATTTTAGCTGAGAAAGATATCCCCTTTTGGGGCTGGTGAGATAGGTCAGTGGACTAACGCACCTGCTTAGTCAAGCGCACGGACCATGGTTTGGTCCCCAGCACCACATGCTGAGCCAGCCCTGTCCCCAGGGTGGGCTGAACCAGCCAGAGCCTGGGAATAGTGGCACACACCTGTAATCCCAGCACTGGGGAGGCTGAGAGCAGAAGGATCACCATGAGTCCAAGCTGCATAGTGAGACCCTGCAACAACCAAATACATTAAAAAAAAGATATCCCCATCTCCTTACAAGTGACAGTTGTTATATTATCCCTAGTAGAGATCAAGGCCTTGAGAGATAGTAGTGAGATGCTGATGTTGTGTTTTAATAGAGAAGGACAGGCAGGGGTGTGTGTGTGTGTGTGTGTGTGTGTGTGTGTGTTTGTGGTGTTATCCTAAATGTCACTCCTATCTCATTGTGAATCTTTCAGCCACAATTAACATTGACAAGTATACTATAGTATCTTGATCTTAAGATACTGTATTTCACAAGCATAAGATCATATCATAGATATTGTATGCCTATATCACAAAGTTTAATATATCACGAACTTTTCTATTTGGAACAGGGTGTCACTACATAGCTTGTACTCATAGTGATCCTCCTGTTTTCAGCCTCCCCAGCTCTGGGCTTACAGATGTGAACATTACACCCAGTCTGAGTTGCCAGCTCAGTGTGTCCGAGGGTCAAGGACAGGGCAGCATGTGGTGCGGAGGATCGAATGATGACCCCTGAGCTTGCCTAAGCAAGTGCTCAGTCTGCTGAGCTATCTTGCTGGCTCTCACAAACTTTGTTTGTACCATTGTAGAACCTGATTTTTTTACATATATATATTTTTAGGGAAGGGCCTACAGGGTGTTCAGGGCTAGATTGGACTCATAGTGATCTGCCTATTTACAGCCTCCCAAGAGCTGGGATTACAGGTGTGTGCTACTACACCCAGTCTCAATTTCTGTCTCAGTGTGCCCCAGGGGCGGGGCTGGCACAGCATTAACATATTTTCTTGACCACTTGTTTTCATTTTTCCTTAAAAATGAAATTAACTCTTTGTGGTTCATTTGTCTGCGTTCCTGTTACCACTTATTGCTTATTTCTAGGCACTTTAATATTTGATTGCTTTAGCTGGGTGTGGTCATACATGCACTCCTAGCACTTGGTAGGCTGAGGCAGGAGGATCACTGAGAGTTCCAGGCCAGCCTGCGTTATCTAGGGATTTAAAGGCCAGCTTCTACTACATAGTGAGACCCTGTATAAAAAATTGTTCTGCCTATTGTTTCCATTTTTTAAAAAAAATCTTTTTGTTTTTTGGCGGAACCGGGGAATTGAACTCAGGCCCTTGCACTTGCCAGGGAAGTACTTATTCCATTGAGCCATCTCCCCGGCCCCTAAAAAATCTTGTATTTATTTATGTATTTGATACAGAGTCGCACTACACAGCTCAGACTCCTAATGATCCTCCTATCTCAACCTCCCCAATGCTGGGATTACATGTGTGGCATGCATCACCACACTGGGTTTTGGTGGCTAGCAGTATATTCCTGGGCCTCAGATTGGCATGGCATGGTAGATACCAAGTATCAAACCTGGGTCCTTGTGCTTGCCAGGCAGGCACTTAGACCACGGAGCTATCTCCCTAGCCCTTGCCTGTTTCCAAATTAAACCCTTTCTAGTCCATTTACTATAGCCACAATACTCTTCTTAAAACATAAATTTCGATATACTACTCCTGCTTAAAATGCTTCAGTGGTTTCCATTATTCTTAAAATAAAGGAGAAAGTTTGCATCATTGTGACAAATCTATACCATGATTTTGCCTCATTCTCTAGTCTCCTGGCAAGAAAGAACATGCATATGGAAATAGTCTTTGCATAGGTAAATCTTATTCATCATTAGGTCATTGACTTTCTTGGGGGAGATTTCCCTTAGATCCCTTTGAAACCTGCTTGATGACTCTTCCGTTTGCTATACTTCCTATGTATGACTCTAATGTCTGTATCCTCCATGATCACTGAGTTCTGTGAGGGCAAGGAGCATAGGAAACCTGTTTTCTTTGTGTATGTCCACTGCTTGGCACATTAGTTGTGCTTACTAAATAATGTATGGCTAGGTGGACAGATGGAAGAAAGAAAACTGATGAAAGAAAGAAATTATTTTCAGAAAGAAATTATAGGAGCCAATTTTCTGGTTTAAGTTTTACCTTAAAGAAGTTAATTCCTTACTCACCAAATCCTGGAAGACTGGCAGTTCAAAATGAGACCTTAAAACTGTATTGGCTTAATTTTTCACTTGTTTATTCCTTAAGTATCTCTATTTTCAGAAATAAAAAGCCTCCCAAGAGACTGGGCATGGTGGCGTGCGCTTGTAATCCCAGCTCTTGGGAGGCTGTAAACAGGAGGATCACTACGAGTCTGATCTAGTAGTGAGACCCTGAACACCCTGTACACCCTTCCCTAAAAAAATTTAAAAAAATAGCCAAGAGATATTTTTTGTAGATCTTAGCAGGGTATATGTGTATGAGGATATATATTTGTTCAGCTCTAAATCACCTTACAACTAATTCACCATAAAAATTACCTTTCTGATCTTCCTATATTCTATGCCTCTTCTTTCCACTTTAACCTGTTATTGCCAATTTAATGTTTCTTTTAATCCTTCCATTTGCATGTTTAAGGATCTCCATTGACTCTGATTTAGAAAGTCTGCTAAAGGCCTTAAACATGTATATATTATAAAAGCTCTGCCAGATAATTCTGATGTGTAGCTATGGTTAAGAATTGTAGGAGTATGCAAAGTAGACATAAGATTATAAAAACAGACTCTTTGGGCATGGTGGTACACACTTATAATCCCAGCTCCTCAGGAGGCTGAGCAAGGAAGATTGCAAGTTTGAGGCCAAGCTAGGCAATTTAGGAAAACTTTGTCTCAAAATAAAACCTCCAAGGTCTGGGGATGTCACTCAGAGGTAGAGTATTTGTCCAGCATTGCACAAGGCTGGGAAGGGAAGCTGGAAAAGTAGAGGGGAGGAGAAGAAAAGATGATTATGAGTGTAGGGTTTAGAATCAGTCGACATGGGCTCAATAATATTTTGACATTTACTGATTTGTGTTCTTGGGCAAGTTACTTAGCTTTACAATACATCACCTATCTCAATTGGAAAATGGAAATAACATCTACTGCACAGGACTACAGCAAGAGATAAAGATGACAATATATGCGAAGTGTATGCATACTGTTTTGCATATACTAACCACTCAATAACTGATAGCAATTGTGTTGTTAGTTTTTCAATTATTTATTCATCAATTGTTGGACAGTGTGTCCAACAGTGTTTTAGGGTCTGTGGAAGATGCAAGAAGTACAAAATATGAACCTCAATTTTGGTCTCTTAGAACTAGTTGGAGAGATAAAATTATACAATTAGTGAATATTTAATAAAACAAAACACAGACATTATAAAATATATAATAAAGGGCAATATTTAGGAAAAGATATCAACCCAGCATATTGGTTTGTTGATTAGCATGAAAAAATAGGGAGACAAAAACATCTCTCAAACTGCTCTTACTAAGCTTTCAGGGGTCTAGTTTTGATGCTGCCTGACAGATGGAAAATGATGCAAAGGGGAAAAAATCCTGCATTTACTTCTCAAAATTAAGAGAAGACAGGGGAGTCTGTTTGAGGGATAAACATATGTGAATAAATATGCTGTAACTCTTAATTGGTTCCTGAAGATTAAAATTGAAATGGTTTCCATTGGAAAAGCACAGACAAAATATTTTTGCTTCATTTGACCAGAAATCAAACACTGGATAAAGGTTGCAAACCTATTTTGATGAATATTGATATACTCTTTCTTTCTTTCTTTCTTTCTTTCTTTCTTTCTTTCTTTCTTTCTTTCTTTCTTTTTCTTTTCTTTTTTTTTTTACCAGGGTCGCTATGGCTACTGCATCTTCTCAAGTTCTGATTCCGGATATCAATTTTAATGATGCCTTTGAAAACTTTGCTTTAGATTTTTCTAGAGAAAAGAAACTATTGGAGGGGCTAGACTATTTAACAGGTATGGAACTACAGTACTTTCCTTCTCATTTTAATATGTTTTGTTTTGGTGTGCTTTTAGTTTAAAATAGTCTGAAAAGGATAATATTTACACCAAAAATGTTTTTTAATAATCATTAAAATGATATATGTATCTTTTTAGATAAGATGTATTTTAGCTCCTGTAATGAAAAAAAAATGATTTATCAAATAATTGTGGGGGCAGGATCATCTACTATTAAAGGTAAAACACAAGAAATGGCTGATGAATTTCTCATTATGAGCTTATCAATTATATATTATTGCTTGATAGAAGGGCAGAACTTAGATGGGAATTAGAGAATATTAGATAATGTACCACATAGGAGAAGTTCCTACTAAAATGATTTTAGGGAAACGTAGGAATCAGCAGACCAGTAAAAAGATGTAAGATGTCTTCCTACATAGATCCCTTACTATAGGGTCTTACTACATAGATCAACTCATAGTGATTCTCCTGTTTTCAGCTTCCCAAGCACTGGGATTACAAGTTGTCGAAATTTTATAAAATAAGGAATGGAAAATACATGTGGTCCTCCCTAACATTTCTTTTCCTTAGTATGAATTGCCATACCTCTACTGAGATTTTATTCTCCATAACATTGATTTTAGTTTTCATGTTTATTTTCTTATCTCTTACAAAGCATCATATGAAGTCTCAGAGCCATTAGGACTCAGATTTAGTTTTCTAGACAGGCCTTGCTTATAAGAAACAGTTGTCACAAGTGACAGAGTTCATTTGTTAAAACGTTAGAATTAAGGGAAATAAATGTCTATAAGAAAAGGAAAATGAAGTTGGGTGTGATGATGCACACCTGTAATCCCAGCTACTTGGGAGGCTCAGGCAGGAGGATCACAAGTTCAAGATCAGCCTGGCAACTTAAGGAGATCATGTCTCAAAATACAAGTTTGAAATGGCTGGTGATGTAGCTCGGTAATAGAATGCTTGCCTAGCTAGGCACAAGACTCTGGGTTCAATCCTTAACAGTGAAAAGCAGCAGCAGCAGCAATGAAACAACTGCCTCTCTAAGAGATACCAGGTTAGGCAGGAAGATTAAAGATTGTAAAGTTCCAGAAGAGACAGTATGCTTTCCTTACCTTCTTTTCCATGTTTCTTTACAGCCCCCAACCCACCCTCTATCCGAGAGGAACTCTGTACTGCCTCCCATGACACCATTACAGTCCACTGGATCTCGGATGATGAGTTCAGCATCAGCTCCTATGAGCTTCAGTACACCATATTCACTGGCCAGGCTAACTTCATCAGTAAGTCATGGTGTAGTTGGGGCCTGTGGCCAGAGATAAGGAAATGTAAGGAAGCAGTAAGCTGCTCAAGATTGGCCGGGGCGCCACGAGGCAAGTGTTTGTAAGACATGTTAGGTTGTTTAGTATAGTCTTTCATAGACAGTGTAAGCTTCCCAGGGCATTGCAAAGACCTTACTTATGGGCAACAAGCAAGTTGTATACTTCCTTGCTGGGCAGTTATGGGGGTCACTCCCATTTGTTTTCATAATCTTTTTGTAATCCTCAGCCTTTTCTTAATTAATCTAAGTCACTCTACTCTGTCACGGAGAGACTGCTCAGTATTAGTTCCTAGGCAGTTTAACTACCATGATTTCTGATTCCATCTGTGTGAACATCCCTCTCCCTGACTACTTCTTCAACTTCATTATCATTATAAAACATTATGTGCAAAGATAATTGTTTCCTCTACCATTCATATCAGTGATCATGGAGACAGACCTTCTGCTCTATCAGTCTTCGCTTTACTCATTCTGCCTTTCCATGAATAATTACAGTAAATATTAAAACATGGGAGCCAGTGGGCCACAAAATGAAAGAAGTTGAAAAAAGCAATTGTTCCTGGGAATGGTAGTATACTCCTGTAATCCTAGTTATTTCAAGGACAAGGGAGGATTCTGAGCTTCAGGCCATCTTGAGCAATTTAGGGAGACCTTGTGTCCAAAAAAAATATAACGAGTTGGGCATGTGGCTTAGTGGTAGAGCAATCCTGGTTTCAGTCATTAGTATGACACACACATAAAGCACATTGTTTAGCTCATGTGTTATGATGAATGGATCTTCTAAACTGGAGTGAGATAAAGCAGAACAGGAACTTAACTCATCGATTACCAGCCAAGCGGCATTGATTCCTAAAGTTCCACTCAGTGCTCTCAGGTGGTGGAGAATAAAAATAAAAGCAAAGTCAAAACTGGATTCCAGACTAGGGTTTTTTCCTACCCTATTTGCATCTGCAGAGTTACAAATTAATACTTTGTTTTATCTTTGTGATTTGATGTACATCTCACTTCACAGGCTAACACATGAAGTTTCATAACTAAACTGTTCTTATAGGCTTCCGTTTCTGGTTTTATGACAATTCTGGGACAGAAATCTGTTTTGTGACAATAGTGGTTTTGGGAGATGAGAGGATATTTGGGAGTCAAACACTTGCCTCGTGCAGCTCCATTCTAAGCCACTTGGCCCACATAGCTATGTTCCTGGGAGTTTCTTCAGGTTCAGAAGTCAAGAAATCTAACACCTCATCATTGTGCTTTTCTGTGCATGTCTTCCATATTCTGGAACATTTTAGAGCCAGGAACTATGCTTCTTCCTGATATAGAGAGAGTAGTTCTCTCCTGGGTGTTGAGATCAAGTCCAGGAAATTACAAAGATCTTATGGTAGTCTTCTCTGTGTTAAAGGCTACATAGCCCTTTGTAAAAAAAAAAAAGCCTAAATAGTAATTCTTAATAGTGATGTAGTAGTAACATCTTAGAGTCAGAATGGACCTTAGAAATCATCTAGTATAAGCTTCCTTTAATGATTGTTCTTTCTCTGCTTAAATAATATCAGTAATGGATACTTTTATCGAATGGGCCATTTAGTTGTTTTACAGCTGTAAATAATTATCAGTGCTTCCTTGTAAGAAACACTTTTCTTTTAGTAAATAATAATGGTAATAGTATTTGTGTTTTGCCATTTATAAACACATATATTATCACACTTAGTCCTTATGAATCATTAACCTTATGAAATAGATGATATTTAATTCTACAGAGTCTGCTAAAAATGTGTTCACAATGAAGGAAAAGAAAAACTTGTATAAATATTCTAATAGCAAATTTATTGAGACACCATGAGATTAATACAAATCAAGTTTATACTGTATGATTACAACAGGTACTCAAAGTGATGGCCATTAGTTCCTAAACATTTATCAGTATATCAAACAACTGCTTGGGTAACCTTGGTCACTGAGACTGTTGTACATGCATTTTCAATTTCTTCTCTAAGGGCCAGCAGTTTAGTGCTTATCTGTGATATATAACATCCTCATGGTCTTCCTATATGAGGGTAGTACCATCCATTGAAAAAGCATCATACTGTTTTTCTTTTCCTGAAATGTGTATACAATTATGGGCAGACTGTATTTTATAAATGAGTGGTTGAAGTTCAAGTTAAGTGAGTTGCCCAAGGTCACAGAGCTATAAAGTGATGGAGTCATGATTGGAGCTCAAGCCTGTCAGACTTCATGAATCAAACCACAGCTCCCAATTAGTCCTAGATTTGGCCTTTGTGCCTTTAATGAAGTGCAAAACTAATCCATCTTTCATATAACTATTCTTTAGATAATCTTCAGTAACTCCCATATCTCTTCTGCATCTTCTCTCTTCCTGAGTGGACATCCTGGGTTCTTTCAATTGATCCTCATGTAACTCTTTATCTTGATATCTTTTTTATGAACACTGCTATTTGCTGTTGTACTTTATAAGGTATGCAGTCAAAAGAGTGAAAACAATACTCTAAAAATGGTTTGACCACCATAGAGGATAGCTGGCTTATTTCTCTTCTGCATGAACTGTTGCTTTCTTGCACTGTACCTATTTTTTTGACAGCCACATTGACTGTCGACTTCTTACCAAGGGTATAGTCAACTGAAATCCCTTTGTATTCCAAATCCTATTGCTATTCAATTGTCTAAGCTAAAACTCAACACCTTGATTTTCTACGTATTATTTTTTACCTGGATAACTTTGTTCCCTCATTTCAACCTGCCATGATCCTTCTGAATCCAAATTTGATCTTGTAATACATTTGTTTTCCCTCCCAGCCTGTCTTCTATGTGTTCCTCCAGTTGTCAATAGAAGAATTCAGTAGGACAAGAACAGAGGCTGAGCCTTGAAGCAAAATTTCAGATGGCAATGGAAAACTATTTTAATGGAAACATTTATGGAAATCCCACTACACTATTGTTTACAGAAGCCAGTTCTGAGGACTACTTTCCCTTAAGGAAGAGTAATTGTTTTAATTCAGAAAGTTCCTTCTTGTTGATAGAATTAAGTCTGTTGATAGATAGAAGAATCTCCATTTTAAAAATTTCTTCCCACCTCTTCTAAGATTTGAAATTACTAGAACTAGTAATGTTTCAGATGATGGTGATCACTGAAGGAAAATCCTAACAGAAGTTTGTCTTCTCAATTACTGTGCTGTATAATTTCTCTCTGTTTGAATTTTGTGTATTTATTTAGTGTGTGTTTTTGAGACAGCATCTTGCTATGTCATATAAGTTTGAACTCACTGTGTAACCCAGACTGGCACCAAATTTTCAATGATCCCCCTGCCCCTGCCTCCTGAGTGCTAGGATTGCAGGTGTGCATCAAGATGGCTTCAATTTTGTGCTTTGTATTTAGAAAGTAGTGGCCATACCCTTTGTCTGGCCAGACAGTCTATAATATACTGCCATGCAGATTCACATCGCTTCTATTTCCCCTCCTTTTCATTTTCATGCAAATGCACTTCACCACACATTTCAACTTGGGTTCATGGATTTTTATACTGTAGTGTTCCTCTTTTGAACAGGAGGTATGCCTCTATTACCACAACTCAGTCACAAATCACATTTTACTAAGTATCACCGATACCTACAAGATCAAATATTTACCTTTTATTTTGACCATTTTTCAAAATGTATTTTTAGTACAGGGTCTACAGGGTCTCACTAGGTAGACTGGACTCATAGTGATTCTCCTGTTTTCAGCCTCCCAAACGCTGGAATTACAGGTATGTGCCACCACGCCCAGTCTCAACTGAGTCTCAGCATGCCCCAGGGGTTGGGATGGCATAGCATGCCAGGGATCGAACTTGCCGTGCTCTTCCCAAGCAGGCACTTTAGTCCACTGAGCTATCTGGCTGGCCCTCATATATTTACCTTTGAAAGGTTGGAACTGACTTCAAAATTAAAACCACTCAGCCCCTCCCCCAGGCTCGCTGAGCCAGCCACTGAGACAGGGCATGATGGTACACGCCGGTAATCCCAGCACTGGGGAGACTGAAAACAGGAGGATCACTATGATTCTGAGCTGTGTAGTGAAACCAAATACATTAAAAAATTATAGAAAAGTTGCAAGACTATCACAAAAAATGCCAGCATACCGTTTACCCAGATTCACTTGCTCTCAATATTTTGTCTTATTTCCTTTGTTATTTGTGAACACTTTAGTTTTTCCAGAGGAATTGCAAGTAAGTTGTATATGTCATGATCTTTTATCCCTAAATTCTTTAATATATGTTTCCTAAGTGTCTTCCTAGTAATCTTCCTAAGAAGATTCTCTTACATAACCATAGTAAATTACCAGCTGTAAGGAGATTTAACATAGATGTAATAATTTTATCTAAACCATCACTCATAGGCCTACTTTGATAATTGAGCCAATAATAGTCACTATAACAGATGAAGACTCCAGTGCTGTCCTTTGTAGTCTAAGATCAGGTATTGCATTTAATTATCTTGCATCTTTGCTTTAGTCCATAATAGTTCTTCATTACTCCATTTAATAATATTAAAAAATTTTAACATGCCCTTTTATTTCTTCCTTGTGCTATTTCTTATTTTGTGTTGGTCTCATTTTTCATCATAATTATAGCCAGGTCATGCATTGATGTCGGAAATACTGCATAAATGATGCAATGTCCCTCTTATGGTGCCATACCTGGAGGCACATGACAGCTACTTGCCCTTGATTTTTTTTAAATTTTATTTTATTGAGAAATAAATATCAATGAAACAGTTTCAAAACTGATTAATAGGACAGTTTCAATAATTAATACATCATGCATTGTTATCTTCTTAGTCATTATCCATAGTAAAAGATGTAAACAGGATATCCTGTCCAAACACTATTAATACAAATCTTTCTTCTCATGGAATTAAGAGAAGGTAGCTGTATATCTATCCTAAGTATTCTACATATACAGATACAAAATGGTCCTTCCTTTCTATCCCTTTCATTTAGTCCTGTCAGAAATGGGTGTTCCATTGGCATCTAAATACTATAGGTATGTGAATTCAGCAAAA